TTATTTTTTCATGTTTATTTTAAAATTAGTTATTTTATCTTAATAACCTAAAATATTTTTTTTTAAATTTGTAGATTTTCGGTACTGGGTCCTAGAAAAAATATTGTACAATTCGAGTGGATATCCATATCACACTCAGACCATTGAGCACTCGTCTCTCTTCGTGCGATATGGGCATCCTATCCACTCTTGTACTTTTTTTAATATAGGTGATACTTTTGAGCAGGCTATCATCAGATTCACTAGGAGTCAGGAACTATGACTTCAACGACATGTAAACGTTGGGGCTATCCAGCTTAACACGAAGACTCAGAGCGTGAAACATCTTGATGGTTACTAGTGGAAACCAGAATATTTTGTGGTTTAGAATTAGCCGTTAGCTTCTTATAATTATCAGATTCTAAGTTATGTACTATAAAGCGGATAGAACTTATAACAAAATTACTCATTGATAAAATTTTGATTAGTTTTTAATAATAAAATTTTCTAAAAACAAAGAATCTTTATTGAACTAGAAACTTTTACTCCCACCATTAAACGATTAAAATACCTTTTAATATATTGACCCACTGAAGGAGAGGAGTTAATAATTTTATATTCAAAGTGTTTCGTGATTAACTAGTGAACTCAACGTGTTGCAAATTTAAATGTTAGTTACTGATATATTAAAATTTATATTATAATGTGTACATGGGTGAAACATTTTGCTATAATTGCAAATTTAACGCATGTCATCCTGATGGTGCACTGCACATTATCTTTAACGTGTACTTGGATGTTTCTACTCTTTACACTGTGACCGTATGTTGATTATTTAACAATACATCAACCAATGACAATTCACTTTTATTCCAACACACGCAATAAAAACAAACTGTATCTGAAAACATTGAAAGGTGCAGTGTTTTCACTATTTCCCGCGCCACATCACTGTGTTGATGAAAAATAGACAAAATTTGTTTTGGATTTTTAAATATACATTGTAAATAAAGAATTGACACCAATTTCGACTTTATCTCACGAAAAAAAAAAAAAATGTTGTTAATGAAAGTCCTATTTATATTATTAAATAATCTTTCCAAATACCACGCGAAATAAGAATTTTGTTATTTCCTTACAGAAAACAACAAAATTTTCTTAGAAAGTTCTTACCTCTTAATAAATTAGTAACTGTCATAAATTATTTTAAAATTAATACTTTTGTCTTGATAACCAAAATAATTTTTAAAATTAGTAGAATATTGTTGGTGGGTTGTAAAAAAAATATACTTTACAACTCGAGTGGATTGTCCATATTCCACGCCTACGGCGTCGTGTTCCAATCTTGTTGCCCAAACTACTATTTCCATAACATATCTAACATTATATTATTTTGATTTTAAGAAAGTAACAGTTGACACTTGACAGCCGATTACAAAAATGTTCAATAAAATTTAAAAGCCCGATTAACTTCGACAGATGTTTAGTCTGTAAATAATTTTATCACGCCCATATATTTCAAAGAAAATGTGAAAATCACATTACTGGGTTGTACAAAAATCCACAGAAACAATAACAATACAAGCACTGAGAAAGAACAATCCTGTGTTTTAGGACGATTTTTTAGGGAAGATGACATAATTAAAGACAAACAAAATCTCAACAGTCACTCAGTACCGATACTTCCAAATTCACCATACTTTCTTGATAATGTCATGGAGAAGTCAAAAGTCAAGTCAAGCACTAGAAATAACGGCTAGAATATTAGCTAGTCCAACTGTCAGCGGGAGGACCACATGTAGCGTGGGTGAAGAGTAGCTGTATTGAATTTATTTTTGTTTAAATATATGCTAGTTGCGGTATTAGCCAAAGGAGTAGTTGTTTTCAGAAGGAAATGGCCGCTTGATGTTTTTGTCTTTAAGTTTTCTCACATGTATATAGTAAAGAGTTATAAACAAAATAAACGGTAGTGTTACGGAATTTTTTTGTTGATGTATCCTGCAGTAATTTGTAGTGGCAATTTATTGACATATAATCATAATAATTATAATTAACCAGTGGTTATTTGATTTGTTAATTTAACATATTTAAATAGAAGTAAACAAATACTTAATACTAATAGATTACTAATAAATTACTAATAAATTACTATTAAATTACTAATAAATTACTAATAAATTACTAATAAATTACTAATAAAATACTAATAAAATACTAATAAAATACTAATAAAATACTAATAAAATACTAATAAAATACTAATAAAATACTAATAAAATACTAATAAAATACTAATAAAATACTAATAAAATAATAATAATAAAATACTAATATAATTCTAACAAAATACTATACTAATACACGTCAAAAATACATACAAAAAGGCATTTTGTACCATGATGTATGCATGATTAAAATAACAAAGTGTGGTATTCTCATCACAATAATCTTCTCTAATGGCCCTGGGTACTAGGATCTGTAAGGTGGGGAGGATAGATTGCTTCACGTGATTTAGGGCTCACTGGGCCCATTGTGCAACCTCCAGGGCCATATAGGACTTGCGTCTCAATTCGTTAAAAACCTGCTGTTTGTCGCTGAGAGGTCTCTAGAGATAGCCGGCCGCCCAGTTGATTAAAGTTCTGTAAGTTATCGACTCGCAATTTTCACCTTCTTATCCATTTAACTTTTCGCAATGCAATGTTGTTGCTGCACCAGTAATGTTATCACTGATCAACAGTATATTTCAAATGATAGTACTAAAAGTCCTATTGCATTTCCCAATTTTCGAATAAAAATGCCTAGTAGTTCTTGAGTAACACGCAGCCTGGTGAAAACAAAATCTTTGATAACACCTGTAAATGATATTTTTACCTTATAATTTTCGGTAATATTCTGTTGATATTGATCAACATTTTCATTTTAACAATATCTGCAATTTTAATTGTATTTGTATTGTATTTCTTGTAACAATAAATTAAATAAATTCCAAATTGTAACAATACGAAAATGGTTAGAAAAGAGATACCTACGCTCGATTAGGCGAGAAATTGTTTACAATAAAAAGTTAAACGATTTGAAATAACACCCTGTATAATTCAAATACATAAGTTACACGCATTATCTAACAAGTTACGTGCCAATGCATCCGCGAGCGTATATCTTCAAAGACTATCCTTCGTCTGTCCCCCTTTGGTCTCCCCTGCTCTCCTCTCAAAGGACATCCTTTCACTATGGTTCTTCGGCGAAGAACATCTTCAAGATGCATCTTCAGAGGCCTCAGTCGAAATCTGACTTTCCACGATGAAGGGTGTTAGTGTTTTGTTTTTCTTAGGTGAGTTCAGTGCTTAGGTTCAGCTTCAACGCTCTTGGATTTTTTGGATAATTTTTGGATGCTTTTTGTGGAATTTATTGGTGATGATGATCTTAAAATTGGATCTTAATTACACAATTTATTAGTTTGGATTAAATTATTATTTTATGAATAAATATATACCGGATGTCCCAAAAGTGTAAAACGTTTATTGAATGCCTTTTATGAACATTTTTATGATTCTGCTTACCCAAAACCTAGTTCGGAAAATTGCATAGGTGATAAAATTTTAGTCTTTTTTATCAACGTATTTTGCTTCAAGAAGTTTTTGATATTTATACATATATTCTATTTTTAATTATAGTAGGAGAAATATTAATTTTAATAATAGGTACTTTTAATTTTAAGAGTTTTAAATGTAATATTATTAATAATAATTAATTTACTTTACTTAAACTATTTTATAAATATTCAAGGTACAAAATTGTAATATAAATTTTAGAAAAAAATGGTCATTAAAAAATTAATTATCCTAACTTTAATCTAATAATTATTTATCTGTTGATTACACAAATTTCTGTGGTTAAAATCTCCATTTTTGATAACTATTGGGAAATAAGTTAAATGTTTTTTAATCATATGTATATGAGTATTTAAATGTAACTTTAAAAAAAAATTTTTAGTGATAAAAATAAAAAAAAAATAAAAAAAAATTGAAGCTGTCCCCTCTGGTTTTGCACCAAATATTTATTATTATTATTATAAAGTAGAAAATTGAATATTTTTGCCATTATCGCAGCTGCATATTTTATACACCAATCGATTAAAGGTAATTTTTTATAGTGTGCATGAAATAACTAAAATTTTACTAAAAATGGAGCTGCCGCCTTTTTGCAGGAAGGTCCTTAATTGCAAAGTAGGTACTAAAAAAGTTAATATACAAACAGAAAATACATCTTACACTTTTTAGATAGTGGCCTTTTATTGTGTGCTTCTACCACCCCGATAGTAAATACCTGAGTGGAGCTATTCTGTTTGCCTGATTCACAGGGCGAAACAGTATAACTAATTTGAATATTGTTGTTATATTCCATAAATTTTAGGCTGGAAATCATAACCCTTTTTAAAGAAATTGTATTTTTTTGTAATTTAGATACTTTATTTATTTATTTCCTAAACGCATACACGAGTGCCTACTTACTCGTATATAAAACAATATAAATCAATATAAATTAGAAAAATCAAAACAAATTTTGAACATTAAAATATCTACAGTCTATTTTTAGTACCTAATAATTAAACATAAAGTATGATTAATTTGATTAAAATGTAATTGAAAATAATCAGATACAAAAAAATTTGATTTTAAGCATAATGTACTATTTTTCCTATTAGGCATTCCAAACAAAATGGCTGCACGTTTGAAATGCTAGGCCACTAACAGGCACATGACAGGTTATAATATGGCATCACTGTGAGCCTGGTGGTTTGATAGGATCAATGATATAGACAGTTACGTAGATTGGTCATCCATGTTTTTAAAAATAAACATAAGCTTATACCTTGAAGTAAAAATCTAGGTAATTATTTTTTTTAATATACTCAAAGGCTGAAAATTGGTTTTAAAATACATTTTTGCTAAACCGATTCAAATTAATGAACACTTGCCAGGCAATATGGTCGCTATCAAACGACCCGCTTTGAGCAATCTATGTAACTATATATGTATTATTGACCCTGTTAATGACAATAAACCCACAGGGTTGCCATATCTAAACTGTCAGATCCCACTGGTAGTCATTTGGACAGGTCGTTGAAATGCCTAATACTCTAAACATATACTACTTTTCTATACGAGTTTAGTTTTTTTTTAATAATTTTAGAAATGATAAAAAAATATCTTCGTTTCTTCTTCGCTAGTTAAATGTAGTTGGATATTTTAAAAATGATGTATTTTTTCTTTGTTTAGAAGTATTGCCTAATCTGAACATTGCTTGCTTAAATAATATTTGGTATTTTTTGAATTACTTCTTTCCTTTACAACTTATGTGATTGATTAATGCTGCATCTACCCATGAAACACCCTGATCTCAAACCGTATCAGAACTACGCTATGACTACTATGTTTTTATCGTGAGTATAATTTTGGGTAAGCGTACGTTCTTCAATTTGTATATTTTGTAATTTAGCCTGATGATAATGATGATGCAGAACCTTTTTAAAAAATGTTTTTGCTACAAACCAGAGTTTTTCCAAGTATTGCTAATATCCTAATGAGGTATCTTTTGGACCTATCGAGGTCAACCAATGAAAAAGTTATATTCGGTTTGGAATCACTGGTACCTAATTGAAACAAGATTTTCTCGGATTGGTAAATTCTGTGTTTTACCTCTGATCTTTTCATCTGTATAGATACTAATTGGTTGGAATGGGAAATCAGTTTAGTTCAAGTTCAAGGATAACCCTTTTTTTATTCAACTTTAGCTATTTGTGATAGGAAGGAAGGTCTCTCTTTTATTAAAATTACTTTTCAAATAAAGTGTTACACGTAAAAGTTTTGCTAGAGGGGGCTAAAATCAAAAGTAACGTAATCAACATTCGTGTTTCTAAATTTCACATAAAATTACCTTTTCAGTGATGATCATACTTGGTACTTTCCTTATTTAAATTGTATTGGTTGGAGTAACGTAAGGAAATGAAATGACGTATACCAGTTGGAATAAAAATCGACCGGTTTTTGCACCTTTTTTTAATTTCTCCTTTAAAATATTCTGAGATAAAGCCCTTACAATAGGTAGTAAGGCTTAAGTGGTGCGTTTAACTGCAGTGCAAAATAATATACGGCAAGAAAATCTCAAAAAAATATTTGAGTTTGATTGTGAAATTCGAGAAAATATTGATAAATTCATGGTTCATAATAGGGGACAATGCGATGACAAATCATCCTTACAAAAAACGAGAAAAATCTCATTTTACTCTTCGGTCCCGATCTAGTGGTTCATTGATAAATGATTATGAAGGATTGGTCCAAAATTATCTTTGCTGATCTTTAGTTCATCTGCTACCTGAAGAATTTGAATTAGATGGTCTTGGAGGACCTATTTTTCTACTTTATTATTATTTACTTCCGTAACGAATATCTAAGTCGGTCTTACGTGCTCATCGACTTTAAGTGGCTCTCGTCCTTGTTTACTTTTTAATAATTTCATACGATGGTGAACATTGTTGTTGTTTATTTGACATTCACTTAATAACACATGAGCAGTGACATTATGTGTGTACAGACACAGTCAAACTTAAACACCACCTTATAGACGAGGCTCAATTTCCGCCGCATAGCCCTCGTATACTATTTATGTGGAATTGTATCATGGAATCATAGAATCCAATAACAATGCGAAATATTATAGAATATCTTGTATTTGAAATAATTTGAAAATTCTGAAATAAATCTCAAATATCCCCCTACAAATTATTAAGACCATCCCCGAACCCCAAAGGTGAAAACAAATACTTGGAGAATTGACAAAAAAGCCTGTCGTCGCCGGGGCTTGAACCCGGACGTCCATGCTTTCTAGGCATGTGTCCTTTCCTCTAGACTATCAACAACAATGAGATTCCTAGACAGAAATTTGATGTACTAATTCTAGCCAGACGGCGTTCTGGCTCGTTCCTAAATCTACAAATACCTCTAATACATCATCGGTGTATTTATATAAGAAATGCATTTCATGCATACTAAGCCAATATCTTTTTCTGCGCGATGTAAGTTTTCAGAAGTCCCATTTTGTCAACATTGTCTGCATAGAATCTGAATTTCATAATTTCTGGGTCGTTATTCTCACGTATTTGTTAACTAAATTCTATATTAAAAATAAAACTATTTAATTTTCCTAATTTTTTAGTAGATAAATCAACTTACTCATTTTTATTTAAAACATAAAATAATTGCCCTCTCATAAAAAATCATCATAGTAACAAACTTTTAATCATTTTCATTACCTAGTGTAAGTTTAAATGATGTTTTGGTTTGTATGGTCCGTTGGCCAGCGAAGTATGTTTAATGAGTTTATGCTAATTGAATAGATAAATAATAATAGTTGTTCATGTAACTAAGCCTGAAGAACAGCTTTATTTATTGAATGAGTAACTTAATAAATAATAATAAATAAACCACATGAAGCAAAATATATAAAAGTAAATCAACTGGATAATATTTATATTTATTTCGTTTAAGTTTGTACAATGTACCTACCACTAAATAGCGCTATTGATATGACATTACTATTTTCTAAAAATGTATTATTTACTGAAAAATAAACACCTAGATCTAATAACATAGTAATTAGAATATTTCTAAATTGGTTGTGGTTATTCCATGCAAATATCAAATAATTAAAAACTCCTTTTGAATTATTATTGCAAGAATAGAAGGGGTTGTTAGGAAACCAATTTTAAATAGATGATAGAGAAAGTGGTTCAACCTCATTCTAGTAATGTAAATAGAGTGTTACCTGGACACGTGAGATGTGAGAAACTTTTTTAATTGTATAGGATTGAATTTAGGTGTAGTTATTGCTTGTATTATTGTTATGTTTGCAGTTAATCCTAATCTATTAATTACCAATTGCTTCTTATTTTTTTTAAGCAATTGATATTACCGAGAACTGGGTAAATGTTCTCACAATATAAAATTGCATCGTTCGTAGCAGATTCTGATAACTTATTTCCAACTATTCACACGTGGGCTTTAACCCACGAAACTTTAATATATTAATACGAGGCGAAAACAAAACAACAACCAACTGTTTGAGTATTTCAAGATGAACTAAATCTATCAAAAGTTGTTCGTTCAAGAAACACTTCCAATTACATGATTGCTTGTTTCTTCGATTGTACTTGACATGTCTTAACTATTCCTTTAGAGAGATTAGAGGAATAAAGAATAGTTAATGCTGAATAGTATATAATGATTTTCTTTCCAGAAGTCATCGACAAAATCAGAATAAGCAACTGAAAGT